TGTGAACATGTGAGAATTATTTGTCTGATGCAACGATGAAAGATTTCTGAAGCCGAATGTCTGGATCTGGTGGGTTGCTCAAAGTATACAGAAACCAGTGACCAGCACGGAACAGTCGGGTCTGAGATGGGGCTACAGTAGGGGTAGCAGATTGATGCCCTTGGGGCTCAGGGTTGGGTGGGTTTCTTTGTCTTCAAGTAGTTGGCCTCCACGCTACAATCAAAAGACTAGACCTGATCAGAGTCTGAAAGCCCTCTGAAACAGTTTGACCTATATGGACTCGCAAGAGGTGCATCTGATTCCACCAATTCCTCTGCTAATGTTCCACCAAACACTGCCACCACCACGTAGGATCCAAGTAGGGAAACTCCTGCAGGCCAGGCACCGTCGTACAGAGAGCTCAGTGCCGAGGAGCACCTCTCAACAACACGAGTTTTTCCAGGTCACACCTACTGGTTGGAACAATCCCTCCTCACTTCTGAATGCACCTCACGATTTGGCAGCGTCGGTTTGTTCGACCGTCGTTTCGACCAGGCACCAAGCCAGTCGCCAGCAGCCCGGCTCCGGTCAGCCATGGCCACGGGCCTAAAGGGCCCCAGCGACGACTCTCGGCCTGGTGAGGCAACACTAGGGTGGTATTGGTGATAAGATGTGATAACAAGTCGATGAGACTGAGACGCAGTCAGGAAAGGTGAGATAGAGCTTGGATTTGAGCACAGGATAGAGGTAATTCGTAGGTCAGGCGGTAAAAAGCCGCTCTGCCAGTACTGCTCAGTGCACCACAAATGTTCCAACGAGATGGATGTGATTCAAAGAATGCCTGATTCAGGACAAAACCACTTTCATCCTAAATTCAGGCTAACGTTGGTTCGGTTCAGATGGGATGCACTACACTATAAATACAGTATAAACGTACGGTGAAGTTGTCTTCAACCATCCATGCATGACCATCCATGTCTGAAACCCAGGGACGTCAACCAGTGTCGAAAAGGAAGGACTCTCTGTGATCAAAGAGATCAAAAAGGATCTTCCAGTCTTGAAGAAGCTTGTTCACTGGAAGAATGGCACCGCCTTGAATGGTGCTTAAGCCAAGCTGGGTCCATGTACCTCTACTCGCCAACCACGGCACCTACATGTCATTTGGATTCATTTGGGTGTCTTTCTTTGTTATGATGCTTATCAATACTTGCCCAAGCTGTCAGGAGTTCCAAGCTGAGCTTTCAGAAAAAACGGAATAAGACCTGCAAAGCGATCCTCATTCCACAACCCCAGTCATTTTGTGCCTCTATCCCACCACACCCACTGGGTATCACCTTGAATCTACGATCCAACGGCCCGGAAAACCACCGCTGCAGCAGCCTCTGTACAGACCCTCAAGTTGGCCCCACGCACAGTGAACGTCTTCTTCTGCACCTCAGAAGGTGAGACCAAACATGACCAAACAGTGCATCGCGCAATCCCACATGAAGCCAGCCGCAATCTGTATGTGTCAGACTAGCTTATCAGCTAGTAGTGAGAGCTGGAGCTGTGCCGGCCTGCACCAACCACTTGCTCTTCAGCACTCGCCGCTGCAGCAAGCCCAAGGAACTATTGAGCCTTTGCAAAAACACAGCTGGTGTTCAGTAGGCTCAAGCAAGGCTACATCATTCTCACCCAAGGTCGCTGCAGCTGTCATATAGAGCCCTCCACAGGCTGCTGGAAGTGCTTAGCCGCGAAAACACAAAATTGACAGGCATTCCATCCTATGCAGCTCAGCATTTTTGCATTTGGTTACGGCCAAGGTGTTTGAATCCGCTCAGACTACTGTGACACCCACAATCCTAGAGGTCATTGCAACGCAGTGACACAATGCTCTTGTGTCTTGAGCATGTTAGCGATGTGGTTCTACATGTAAGCCTTTGAGAAAACACTATCAGTCCCAGTGGAACTCCGTTCCAACTCCGACAATTGCTGCACAACTCATCAACTCATCCATCTAAGTAGCAACTGGGCTTTATTCCCAGAGGGAAAAGGGGGTGCCAAATTTGAAGGTATGTTTTGTAGGGAGGGAACCCGTCTCCTCCCTCACATCATTGGCGTGATATTTCCCAACAGTGGCTAAACAGGAACAACTATGCGAAGTTTTCAGGGAGGACGCGACTAGGGGCTCCTGGCCTTACTACTAGGAGCAAGGACGCTACTACTGAGCGGTTGCGATGACACCCTTCCCTGTGCTTGCTATGAACGTGCCACAGGTGCGGAAGTTCCCGCAAATGTTGTAGATCCCATGGCGGTAGTACCATAGAAAGGTCTACGTCTAAGGGTCCAACGAAAAAGAAATTAAACTAACTATATAAATGTTTGGAACTGAATGGATGTTTGGGTACATCACTTATCGGCTCATTTGAGCACGAGAATAAGCGTTCTTACATTTCCCTAAGGTTCAATCTACCGGCCTCAGACTTAAAGCAAAACTGGTGTGGTCGCACCAACTCTCAGCCCAAGTGGCGTGCTTGCAAATCTGGCTTCAAAATAACTTACAGAAAGTACAAACAGCCTTGGCGGTTTGAGCCTAAGCCATTTTGCTGGAAATAGTCACTCCGGACTCCCTTCATTCATCTCCAACAAGGAGCTTTTGTAGCTCCTCTCCGGCCGAGCCGTCGTGGAGCCCCACCAAACGCACCTCCAAACAAATTGCACAAGGTGATTGGATTCAAAAGGTGGGTTGCTTTGTACATGGAAATGGCCACCGAACCAAAGACTGTAACGGCCCTACATTACTGGCATTTGGATTTGGGGCAGTTCCTATCAGCTTGGGAAGCTTTGCTGCTTTTAATCTGCGACAATGATTCCATAAACCAGTTTGGAAACGTTCTACATGTAATTTGCCTCGAAAATATGTTTTCGTGCTGACGCTGACTATTCAGCAGTCACATGCAGTTTTCAGAACACCTTGATCTATGACATGTCTTCCGACGAATGACAGCACCTGGTCACCCGGCGCCCACTGTGAGTCATCCACCTGCAAATCTTCATGAGAAGTCTTCATAGGGGTGGTGGGCAACAAGGACTGGCACGACTGGCAACTGCAAATTCTCGGATGGTCAGGTTTGTCGCCTCCTCGACCTGCAAATTCTCAGGCTTCAACCGCAGCAGGCGATTGCCCAGCGACACCTGGCAGGAGGACGAGCTTCAGGAGCCACCAAAGGCTCTTTATGTCTCCGTTGTCGGCATGTTGTTGCTTCTGTTTCTCAGTTTTGGGTCAGAAGCTCCGCAATTTGTTGAGATGCTTGGGTTCTTTATGGTTCTTTGATCTGCCCCCCCGTCCCAAGACGCCTAACCTCTTGCAACCAATGCCCAAAACTCTCAACGTGCAGCATGTGCCTCCCAACGCCCCGAGTCATTGGGCCGCTGAGTGACCTTCGCCCGCTGTCCATTCAGCTCTTGGCCTGCCTGGCTCGGCAGGAATCAAGGTAAATGAAGCGTCCTAGTAGTAGCGTCCTTGCTCCTAGTAGCGATACCAGGAGCCCCTAGTAGCGTCCTTGCTTCTAGTAGTAAGGCCAGGAGCCGCTAGTAGCGTGCTTGTTCCTAGCCAAGCTAACGGACTGTGCCATTCGCAACGTTTCCGATGACCCTGACCGTCCCATCACCAAACCCGCCCCATCGTGTCGCCGCTGGGCACTGTGTCGCCTCCGAGGTCAAGCCATGCACCACGACAGCATCGCCCACTTCCATGAGCACTGTTTCAAAGATTTTGTGGGTCGGGGGTGGTATCTACTGTGTAGCAATAGAGGTTGTAGACTTAGATGTTGCTCTGAAATGCACGGTCATGCAACTTATGATATAAATCCTGGATTCCCCGGTTCGTGGTGGATGAACTGTGAACCAATATCAGGACCTGTTGGAACCTGATGCAACATATTGTCTATCAAATTTGCTATTCCACTCATGAGTTTGCAAATGTCCACTTGCTCATGTTGCTGTCACAGACTTGGAGGACCTCGTGTTGTTCAGAAACAAAAACCTTCAAATGATTCAAATGATGATGTTGTCTAATCTCAAGATTATCATGTAGACGGAGGATATGCCCCCCTTGAAGAGTCAGCAGCTCCGACAAAGCAAGGGTGCGATGTTGACTCAAAAGAAAAGTCTTACCTGCATGGATGATGAAAAATGAGATCCACTGAGAAACTGGAAACCTTCATCCACTGCATATATGGCGCTCGGCACACTAGGCTTCATGCCATGAGGCGGCACTGAGCGCATTGACGTGGATCACGTTTGGTCGAAGAGTGCTCTTCGCTCCGAGCACCGGGCGAGTTCGTCTCGTCGTTGTGCGCCCTCGGGCGAGGGTGAAAAACGCTCAGAGCACATTGCCTAGTAACAAGAAGCTAGTAGTAACAAGTGCCACGCTAGTAGTAACAAGTGCCTTACTAGTAGTAACAAGAAGCTGTATGCAAATTGCCTTGTTGGTAAAGCACTTTCCAAACTTGGCTCCCCAGTCGCAGCTTCCTGCAGCACATGAGTGCAAGCAAAGAAGCTTCTCCACATACTAGGGTGGGTTGTTTGGACATTCGGATGCACATGGCTCTCACAAGTACAGTGTAATCATCTCAATTTTGTGGCAAGTGTTTGCAAACTTGACTTGCGCTAGATGAGTCACGAGAGCAAAGTGGAAGATGCAAAAGCTCGCCTTGTCTGCCTTCTTTGCTGTTAGAAGCAAGGCACCAGGGGCATCCCTCCTGCATCTCCAAACTGTCGAAATCATGAGCACCCAACCATCAGATTGAGCAAAACAGCAGCAACCGAGGTAACTGAGCTCATGACAATTATGTATTCTATATTACATATATATACATACCCTCCTGCCTGTGGCGCACAGGATGCCTCCGAGACCTGTCGAGATGAGAAGGCAAGTTCCAGCAGGCTCTGATTGAATGAGAAAGGAAGCAAAAGAACACAAAGACTGGATACACATCACATGTTATCTTCGCCTCTGGCGTCGAACCACTTTGGGAAGTTTACACGACATGACCAGAACGAATTCCCTGGCCACCTAGCAAGCGGCAGCTCAATTGTGGCACCAAGGCCAGCAAGAGCCAAAGACATGCTGCGACACTGACAACCGAGTCGAAAGCCCAGTGCAACATAGGAAAGACTGTAAGCTTGGGGAAGCGCGGCACAAGGAAGGTCACTACGCCAGTGGTCTGCGGCAGCTGGGTAACAATGGAGCCGTAGGGATTGATGGCTCCAGTAAAGCCATTGTAGGTACATTTCACCAATGTCTGACCGTTCTCCACAGCCGCATACTGATGGCCATGAAGGTGCTGACGGCCTATGTTGCCCCAAGTTGCGCTACTTTCCAGAAGCACATCGGCCGTACTCAAGGAGCGTGTGAGCGAAGGGAAGTCCGTGTCAAAGCAAATCGTCCCCGTCACAGAGATCTCTGCTGCACCTACTGCACCCACAGTGACGGATGCTACTGAAGGTGGCTGTATGCCAGGCAGCAGTCCGCTTTCGAGGACTGGCACGGGATGGTTCTTCGCATAGCTCATCACAGACCCGTTTCTAGTGACAAGGTGATACCATGACCTTTTGTTCTCAAAGAAGGACAGAACCGCCAGAGCTTCAACCCTTGTCTTGTCGTAGTGCTCACGTAACAGTTCCTGATAGCGCGGCACTGGAGGGCCATTGCGCACATCAGTCCCTTGCTCAGTGTGCATGATGATGGTGTCACCAGCATCTAAGCGTTCTTTGGTGGCGTTGTACACATCTGCCATGTAACTAAGACAACTAACTCGATGGTATTCTGATGGTTCTCCTCCTGGCGGTATGAAAGTCATACCCATGAACACGGTTGGGGCATAGAATCGAACTCCTCCGGCAAGAAGAATGACGAACAAGGTGGCAAGAGAAGCCCGGAATCCTCCTGACTGCATTGCCGCGCACGTTTAAAATTCATTTGACATAGTCTAGTCTAGAATCTGAAAGTTTACATATGTATACTGTACATTCTTTGTTGATATTATATCGTTAAATATATCATATATTATATATACATATCGATATTTAGATATATAATTCAACGCACCGACCTGGCCGCATGGAGGTGGCAATTGTGGTCACCTGATACATTGACGTTCCCACCAAAAGCGGCCACATGACAGCAAGAAGCTGTTTACTGCGTCGATTGTTGGAGGGAGGGTAGGTGCCACAGCAAGATGTTCTTGAAGTTCAGAGCCGCAAACCGGCTCCGTGTTACGTGTGGCCTCCAGCTGCATTTTTTGGGGGGGTGTTTTCTTCAAGACATGGCAAGACTTGCTGAGGGTCAGGTGAGTTTTTGCATGCCACCTAAATTGGAGAGCATGTGTCATGTGTTTTGTTGTCAGAATGTCGGATGGACGCGTTGTGGGTTCAAGTTTGATCTCGTGCCAGACAAGCCCCAAAGCTTTGGGGATCATTTCGCCCTCAAGGTGCTCAACACTTACAGCCTGCAGAGATCTGCAGGGTTACAATTTGAACATTGGTTTTCCAGCCTTCCCAATAAAAGCACATGTCGAAAAGAAAATGTGTATGTAAGACTTACTCGTGCCTGGCCCACCGTGCAGGGAAACACAAGGGTTGCAATCAGAAGGCCCTTCAACTAGGTCTCGAAACGAGCTTCCTTGTGGATCTGGACGCAAAAAGTTTAAACGAAGGACAATTGTTCGAGGTTGGATAAGCCGACTCAGGTGGAAACCACTTCACCACTTCTCGACCCCTTGTTTGATGCTGGATGTAGGGCCGTCTCTGTTCCAAACATGTTTTTTCTCCCATGGTTTGTTGAATTTTGAGCCGTCTCAACGCCCAAGTATATTGAATGTTGGTTCTTTCTGCTCCTAAGAACCCCTGCCAGTCTCCACCCATTTTTTCTTTCCAGGGTCGGTGGAGCGGCAGCCCTTTGATATTTTGCATAATTCAAATTGAATACTATTTGCTCTGCTGTTCCATAACCAGATGGCGCTCCTGTGGCCTTGGAGTTGGCGCAGCGATGTGCTCCAGCCGCTGCTAGCCAGCTGAGAATGAAGGTGACACCGCTGCGTCCGAACCACGCACTGCATTGTGTCAGCAACAGGCTTTGTCCAGCCAAATCGTAGGCCGGGCTTGCAATGGAACCGATGGGGAGGAAGAAGAAAGACAGGACCCACAAAGCAGTATTTATACATGGGAACGCCAGTGTCACACTCCAAAGCTCTGGATGTCTTTGCGTGAGCCAGCGGTGTGCCAAATATGCAATAGTCAAAGGTATCTGCAAGGCCACACAAATCGCCAGGGCCGAGACTTGCAAATACCCCCATGTGGACAGCCCCAGCATGATGCCTACAGGCACCAAGCACAAAAGGAACGCCCAAAGCTGCTCAAGCCACTCTGCCAGAAGGCAGCAACACAGCATGGATATGGTTGACATGCCCGGGATTGCCTCCAAGTTGGTGAACAATTTGGTCACTAGCGCCACGAGGAAAACTCCCACCAACAGCTCGTTGCTAGGCCTTGCTCCCTCTGCCACAGTGCTCTTACCACCATCTTCAGGCAACAGCTTTTGGCCGGCCTCAATCTCCGCATCTGGAGGTGCCATCGCACCACTGGGTTCCTGACAACTGACGAGCCAGTGGCTGCGGTGAGAGTTTCGTTGGGGCAATGAATACATTTCTGTTGCCACTTCAGCTGCTGGAGTCTCATTCGAACGTGGACTTCAATGGCTTTCACCACCTCAACTGCCAAGAGATGCTGAGAGTAATTGGGCTTGGCTCAAAACAAGCAGGTCTTCACAAACAGGACCCATGACTGTGGTGGACTGGCGTGCGAAAAAACTGCAACAGGGTTACTGTGGTGCACCATCCAACCCTGAGTTTGCCTTTGGAACTTCACCTCACAGCCTTTTGATGCCAAAAGCGTAAAAACACCACGCCTTTGCGGTTTCGTTATAATTCTCCTGCTCAAAGGAGGATCCTTAGCACTCAAGTGCACCATGCAATCGCCCGACACAAGTCCTTTGATTCCATTCCATTTCCTCGCAGTGCACTATGAATCCTTGAATTAGTTGCAACATGTTGGGTCAACAGGGGGGGGTTAGCCCAGAAAGCAGACCTTCCCGACGACCCAACATGGTTTTTGGGGGGGATGGGGACAGTTTCGTTCCTGTTTCTACTCGCGTAACTCAGTACTTGCGCTGCACTTTCGGCTTCGTGACTCGACAGCTTGGAGGACATGGCAGGCTCCACGTTTGAGGTTTGTTTGTGTTTGTCGCAATTGAGGGATCTTTTCGCGGCAGACCCCTTTTTGGATGCCCTCATTGATGTTTGCTCCCGTAGGTTTCATTGTTAACCGGTCGATCACCCTTACGTTTTGATCATCTCGTCGATGTTCAGTTGGTCTTGTTCGATGTTTGGAATTCTCACGTTCATCGAAACTACGTCTTTCAAGACGTTTATGGTTTATGGCAAATCACAGATGTTGCACAAAACAGACAGAGACTTGACAGCAGACCTTGTCTTATTTGAGTGTCTTGAAAATCCACTCGAGTCATCCATCGTCTTAGAGCTCATGAACTCCAAGACGATAAGTTGAGTGGCCCGAAAGGCAAAAAAGACCTACAAAACGCAGGGCTTTCTAGCCTTGCGCATGTTGCTTTCCGGGCTAACCCCCTCCGTTTCCCCAACATGTTGCAACGGTCTCACCTGGGGATTCTTGTGATCACCGGGGTTTCACGTGATCCTTTTCTACACTCTTCGATGAATAGACTTCCAGCCCCCCACATGCAAGTCAAGGGATTGTGGGAGAGGAGATCGCCGTGGGCCGTGAGTCGTCGCTTTCTAAACGCAGCACCAGGAGCCTTGAACACTGGAGACAAGTCTGGACTCCGCGTGTGTCTAGGCCCTCGCAGATTGGAGACGGGCTGGGCCGGATGCGCCAAAACCATTCGGGGTGCTTCCCCTAAAAAGAAAAAACAAGGTGAACAAGGTATACATTAAACTAACAAACAAAAAGTACCTGGACTGTCCAGGAAGATAGACAGAGAGCGGTATATAGGACATAGGTAATCATTAATCACCATGTTCACCACGCAAGTAGCAGTTCATTACAGACAGAATCACACATCACGTTCAGCGTTCTTCGTGTGATAGTTGCCTTCCCACTCGCCCCAGAATTCACCCATTGGTGGCCCACAAATTCGAGACTCAAAGCTACCGGGACCCAGCAAGCCTTGAGACGTCTTTGGCTTCGCACGTTCCAACTCAAACATAAACTGTGTTATTCTACCGCACACTTGTCACTTGAATCAGCAGACTACAATTCATCTATGAGCTTCTTCTTCTTCTTCTTCTTCTTCTTCTTCTTCTTCTTCTGTTATTGCCACCCACACCAGTTGTACGTGTGACATCACAAACATTGCCATTATGTATCGCAGTTTGGACCGCTGCCTGCGTCTTGGGATGCCTTGGCTGCTGCCGCCACAGCAGTCGAGACCTGTGGAAATGGCATGAAATGGCCAAGATGGGCGAACGGATATGACAGGCCTGGGATGTTGGCGGTCCCTGTAGTTAACTCTTTCGTCAACTGACACTCTGACACTCCCCACAACCCAGGGCATTGGTTGGGGTTCAGGTTGGGTTGGCTTGGACGAAGTCCGACACCAACTTAGGTTGAAGATCCCGTTCCAGAAAAATCGGTCCCAGATCCCGGATCCAAGGATTTGTGGCATTGCACGGTCAAATATGACCATGTTCCTGTCCATCTCAAATAGTATATTTATATAATTAATATATATATATATACTACAGCCTCACTTAACATGTCACATCAATATCATATCTGTTCCTTTAAAACCTAAACTCGTGGTGTGACACCACCTGAATCCCATGGAGTGCACAGGACCTGTGCGCTCGTTGTAGACTCCACCGAAGACTCGCCCGAGTCCAGCAAGTCACTTTTCCTGTCAGGCCACCTTGCAACAATCCTCAGGACAAAGCCTGGTATTCTCTCACCAAAATCGTCGAGATTAAATCCAGTTCTACAAGTGTGTAGGCCGCACCAGCGACCGAGGTGAGGCTCAAGAAAATGGAGAGCAGGAAAGAGATCACTGCGAACTCACTGGACTTGAGAAAAGGGAACGCATAAAGTTGAAGCAAGAGCTGCAATGGTGCCTCTACAGACAACTCCGAAAGCATCAGAAGCTCCAAGTCGTCCGTGGCCTCGCCTCGATGCATCGATTCCATGGAAGCGGTCAGGAATCCTTTGGCAGCTCCACGCCTGATCTGCTGCCGAAGGGACATCAAGAAAATGCCAACTGATGCCAAAGCAAAGAAGAAGTTGCCGGTGAGGATGTACTGAATGACCCCATTCACATCTGACACTACATCCACGAAGAAAGGCAGAAGGGTCGACACAAAGAAGACAACTTTACCCCTGGTGGTGCTGCCCTCCTGTGGCTCGTCAGAGGTACTCAATCTCAATTCCCTTTCTGGCCCATCTCTCACTTCCTCTTGCTTCATCACCTGAGCGGCTGAGCGGCAACTTTTGAAGCGAATGGTCCCAGCCCGTCCCTGGGCTGTCGAGAGATCTCGTTTACATTTCTGCCAAACGTTTCAACTCCATCTCTCTCGGGACAGGAGAGGGAAGAGAGGAAAGAAGAGCCAGGAGAGAAAAGAGAGAGCAAGCGAGCGAAGGTCACCTGAAAAGGCCAAGAGTAGCAACGAAACACATCTTTCGAAGACCATGTTCCAACCAAGCTACAGCCATAAAAACGATCAAGTTTGCAGCACATCTACTCAGGCATCTCTTTTATAAGTATATAAGTGGGGCCTATCGCATTCCCAAGCTTCCCAAGCGATTTCTCGATTTCCGACATCAATTCGGGCATCTGGTCTATGCTACAAGCCAATTACTCCAGCATAGACCCCAGATAGCAAAAGCATGCAAAAGGTTTTTCTGGGCCGCGCCCTTCATTGGCAGCAGCTCCAATTTTTAGACGCAATACAGCGTGGCGTGTCTCCACTACGCGCACAGCCAGCGCCAGCACCCGGCACCAGCACCCAATCTGCACCACGCACACAACGAGCACCACCAGCACCGGCGCCCGGCACCAGCACCAGCAACCTGTCTCCACCACGTGCACAGCCAGCTCACAGCACCAGCACCGGCACCCGGCACCAGCACCAGCAACCTGTCCCCACCTCACGCGCAGCCAGCTCACAGGACCAGCGCCAGCGCCGGCAGCACCAGCACCAGCACCTGTCTCCACCACGTGCACAGCCAGCTCACAGCACCCGCGTCGGCGCCCGGCACCCAGCACCAGCACCAGCAACCAGTCTCCACCACGTGCACAGCCAGCTCCCGGCACCCAGCACCAGCAACCTGTTTCCACCACGTGTACAACAGCACCAGCACCGGCCCCAGCACCAGCACCAGCACCCAGCACCAGCACTATCAACCTGTCCCCACCACGCGCACAGCCAGCTCACAGCACCAGCACCAGCGGCACCCAGCACCCAGCACCAGCACCAGCAACCTGTCTCCACCACGTGCACAGCCAGCTCACAGCACCAGCACCAGCACCCGGCACCACCAGCACCAGCACCGGCACCCGGCGCCCAGCACCAGCAACCTGTCTCCACCACACGCGCAGCTCACAGCACCAGCGTGCACAGCCAGCTCACAGCACCAGCACCGGCACCCGGCACCAGCACCAGCAACTCATTGTTATTTGACGTAAGAACCCCATAGCTTCGCTATCTGGGGAAATATAGGGATCTCCAAATAAAAAGAAAGGGGAACGGAGGAACATCCTTGAAAACAGTCTGGAAAACCGGAGCCCTATCTAAGCCTATCTACCTTATGCCCTTTGTCAATCACCGTGGCCTGATTGCAGCAGCAGCACGAGAGCAGCTCCAACAGTGTGGCAATCGCCACCGCCGCCATGGGGCCAAGGAGCAGCAGAAAGATCGAAACTGTCCACAGCCACTCTGGCAGCTGATTGAGGAAACAAGTCCCCGCGTAGAGATTGCAGAAGCCATTCCAAATAAAGGACTGCTCCTCACTAAGTTCCACCACCGAACGACTGGGAAGTTCCATGAGGCTTGACCACTTGACCAGTTTTCGAGATTTCAAGCTTGACGAGCGCCAACGGTCTTTTCATGCTTTTTCTAGGGCCCCAAAAAGTCCTAAACACCAACCACCACGTGTCTAACCACTAGCTACCCATGGATAATGTGTAATGATGTTTAAAATGCCCAAAGCAGGGGAAACAATCGGGACCCCCCCGCTCCTCCAGGCAGAGGTCGTAATCGTGGTAGTCCACCTCACAACGGGCCTCTTCGGCCCACCAGGCGGTCTTCAGCCAGGCTGGGAGGCGTTCGCAAGAGGCGTCGGGGCGACACTATGCTGGGGGGATCATTACCCTCCACCACTGTCACCAACGCCACCACTACCAGGACCCTCAATGCCAGGCTGCCAAGCCGGAAGCAGCGCACCCTTGTTGCGCGAACCCCATGAGGTGCGAGCCAGAGTAGCGGAGCTTCGGCGAGCTGCCATGGCGTGAGGTCTGAGACTTGGGTGACCATGGCAAAGAGGAGCGCCAGGTACACCGGAATTATGTAGGCATTGGTGAACCAAGCAAGCAGAAGCACCGAGGTGTGAGAGTAGATGTCCACCATACTGTGCAAGAAGACGATCCACGCACGGCAGCCTCCAAGCTGCTCCGAAACTGCATCGCTCCTACGGGCCTTGATTTCAAGGATGCCAGCCATCACATTGGATGTCTGATCAACCTCAAACCTCTAAGTCTTCGAGCCTTGCACGGTCCACCACCTGCAATTCGGATCAATTCGGCCCAACATGCTGAACTCCCAGGTCCACTTCTCCAAGGCACCTCTTCACCAATCTAGGCTGGCGGCTCCCTGGCCGCCACTTGGCGCTGCTCTCCTGGCCATGGGCCGCAGCCCTGGAATCCAATGGATTGGTGTGGAACCCATCCCTCACATTGAGAATTAGTGGTCAAACTGGCCAGTGAATAGCTGCACACGTACCCGTACTTAGCAAATATCAAGAGGCGTGTGCAAACACGGAACTAAACTAAGTGCCATGTGTCGTCAAACATCTCGTTATTGACGGCTCATTGGAAGTGGAAAAAAGAAAAGGTGCAAACCGAAACTGGTTTGGCTTGCTGGATATTGTGGGACTATTTCACAATTGATCTTTGCGATGAGGACAAACCTTTACCAAGTGGACCATAGGGATTGCTGGTTTCAATCCTCACCCCCAGTCCTCGGACTTTTTTCACGCTCTCAAGAGCTTGACACCCTGGTCACGATCAGCTCTTGCTGGGAAAATGCAGGTTGCTGGGAAGATGGATTTCTTTACAGGTCCCAAGTCTCAGCAGTTACAGGTTCCATATGTTCTTGGCTCTGCAACGGAAAAAGAGCTGTTGAATACAATTCCCAAAGTCGGTGGCACCACAATTCTACATGGCCAAAACATATCACCCAGGCTGGTAAGTTCAGCATCCCACCTGCGTGCGTATCATGAGTGTAGCAAGTCGAAGATCTTGCAATCCTGCTCCCCTAAAGCTCCAAATGCTTTGAGAACCCAAAGGAAGCTTGATTGCTCTTCTCCAGTTCCTCTGTACAAGGGCTGTGTCTAAAAACCGCTCACCTCCAGAGAAAGCCAACAACATGAAGGTCCAAGATGGCAACAAAGTGCTTGTATATTCGAGGAAAATACGGTAAATGTCGCAGAGTATTTGATGTCACAACTTGCAAAGGCATGTTTTCTGCGGGGTGTTGCCGCGGTGTTGCCGTTTTCTTCGAGCCTTATCCTCATCTGGCCCAAAATTTCCAAACGACCCCCCTTTCGGCATCAGCAGCCGCCCATTTCAATAGAGCACCAGTCTCCTGCATCTGGTGAGCAGCATCTAACTGGTGCCAGTCGGACAGGAGTCCAGACTTCTGATCGAGAACGAGCTTTTGCAAGGATCGATTGAACTGCTCGGTATTAGGGATTTTCGACAGGATTTCCTGTACATCTTCCTGTCTGGAGGCTTTCATGTTTTCCACATGAAGATCATGCAAACTCGCGGCGTGTTCTTGTAACACCGCCTTCGAGTGAATTTTCACCTGGCATCCGAAAGGTTTGGACTTCCACCGTCGAAAGTCAAAAGAAGAAAAGCAGGCACGGTAGTAATATAGAAGAAATGCATATTATAGACTGATATCCTCCTTCATTGTTGGGTTTGGTGCTTTTAGAGGCAGTCTATAAACTGTTGCCTTTATAAAATGCCTGAGAGGATAGACTTCCAAAAGTGTCAAGCTGGGCAAAAGGCATCAAAACTATAAAATCAGGCAAGTGGATTCTCAGCACTACAAGAACGGTAAAGAAAAAATAACAGTCCCAAAAACGGCAATATCAGATTGACAACAGAAAATTGACCAAAAACATGCAGTCTGTAAAATGGCCATGGAGGGTCCCACTACCAAAAAAATGAACAGAAAGGCACAAAATTGCACAAACTCAGAAACTGTAAAATGCCTCGCAACATCGCAGACCTTTGTCAAACACTGCCAGAACTCTCAGGTAAAGATTTACCAGAAAGCCTGTGGGATGGTGTCCAGCTAGTTACAAAAACCCCATTGGGCTCTAAATGTTTCTGATTTGAAGATTTGCCCAAAAGTCTCCATTTAGCCAACCAACACTGCAAGAACAGCCAAGCAGGTGAATTCCAGCTAATTACATCTAATTGCAAAGACTGCTTGTCTATAAAATGGGGGAGGGCAGGTGCAAGGGCCCTACCTACAGCAGGCACCCACCAGATGCATTTTATATACTACCATTGTGCCCGGATAAAACCTTGAAATTTATAAAATGCCAACATGGAAATGGACCTCACATAAAAGAGGGTCAGATGTGGCATAATGTAGGGTGAAAACATCGGCATGTTATAGGCTAACACCGGTGGGGGATATACTGATGTATACAACTGAACATATCGCACCATTAACTCGATTGGATACATCCCAGCAAATTTGCTTTTGGTCGTTTGTCATCCACTCTAAAGCGGCGTCCGAAACCTGCGCGCAGCACCGACCGATTTCAGTTTCAGCATTGGGAACCTCGGACCTCATCATGTCCCTTCATTAGATAATCATTAGGTGGCTTCAGGTTTCTCGCTTGCGTGCTTATTTGTGCTTACCCCGACCACCTCCATATCCAGGCACAAAGACTTACATCACCAAGTGGCATGCTGCAGGAGTTCCATCTGCCGTGCTTGCACCAGCTCCGCAACGCACCAAGCTCGATGAAAGAGGTTGAAGGAACGATCCACTGCCACTACCTGGGAGAAGTCCGAATCGCCTTAGTAAACATGTCTGTTCGTTCTCGGTCTCCACACTTCCTTCATATCTCTGGCTGCCCTTTCTCAATAAAACACGGAAACGCAATACGCTGTAACGCTAATCCGAATGCTGCTGTTCTGCAAGACTGTACGAGCTTTCGACCTTTTGCGCCCCACACAACAGGAAGTCACCCCACAAAATCCAAAAGTCGCCCGACGGAAGGAATTCCCAACGGCACAGCTACATTCATAGATTCTGTGTTAAGTTAAGTGTATATGTGTCTGCGCCACTGCGTTTGTGTGAGAAAACGGGCACAGTACCATCAAGACATACATGCATCTGCATGGCACAGCACGGATGCACACCATTTCACGCTGGTTGCCATGTCTTGCACGCTCGCACACACTCACGCACGCGCACTGCTCAATCAAGACCACGTTGGCGACCATTCATGCCGACCGAGACCACTTTTGAAAAAATCACCTCATCAAGAATAACTTTTGCGCGTGTTGTCCATCGTATTTCCTCATATATAGGCCTGTGTGCGCTTTGGAGCCTGGACGCTACTAGCTGCGTGGCCATGTGCGCTTTGGAACTTGGGCGCTAACTCCGATGCGTCAGTTTCATTTCATTTTCAAGCCACACACCTAAATATAAAGTCCCCAACGGCACAGCGGACATAGGACATTCTTTGTGATACACATACATGGTCTTGTGGAAGCTGCTGCGCCAATGCGGTTCACCAAAAAACTGTTCACGTTTGACAGACTTGCCTTCAAACAATTTACACTCAAAAGCTAGTCCCCCATGGCACAGCTGACATGAGACTGTGAATGGAATTGATGAAATGCCCATGTGTGGTCTTGTGGGAACAGCCGTGGCAACAGGAACTACCGAGTGGTGAGGCCTCGCCTGCATGCGCACTTCCCAGGTTGGAGAAATCAATGCTCGGGGTTGTTACATTTCGGACGTCAACATGTTAGCCCTTCCCCTGTTGTGAATTTTTCCCGAATGCGTAGCGAAGGGTTCAAGCGACTGCAACCACTGGCAACCGTTCGCAAGCTATGGCGCTGACATTGGGCGAATCTTTTGGAGAAGGCTTTAGATGAAAGCATGTCGCGCCAGATTCGTGTGAAATAGCGTGGGAATGTGTGGAGAGGTGAGAGGTTGAAGTGCGGAGGATGATTTTACTGCGCAGGTGCAGGGTTTTGTGCAATCCTTGGCTTTCTTCGCTGTGAACTTGGGTTGGGATTGGCGCTTCGAAGGCAGTATTTTTGAGGCTGGGTGTTTGATGTGGCTGTGACATGGGGATTTGCGTTTCAGGGTGCGTGTTGGAGGTATCGAAGCTGAATATGCATAGCAGGAATCGTGCGGCTGCAACGTTTGGTGGAGGGGAACGTCGCAGTGACATTGGGATTGATGGTGTGTTCAGCAGGTGTGTGGTTTTTTCTTGCGGGGCTGGGATTGCGAAACTGCTTGGCAGGGCTGCAGAATGTGCTTGCTCTGATGAAACTTCCGCTTCACTTTTGAAAGAAGCCTCGCACGAAACGCTCGTTTTGGAGACACTGATGCATGACTGTTGGAGGAAGCCTCGAACGAAACGCCCGTTTTGCAGACCTGACGTCGTATGAAACATTTGTTTTGGAGACTCGAAGTCGTGCGAAACCCTCATTTTGGAGACTTGACGTGTGACTTTTGGAGGAAGCCTCGCAAGGGTGTCCGTCAAGAGTGTCCTACACAAGTGCCCCTACAAGAATGTTCCGCTAGCGTGCCTACAAGAGCGTTCTACAAGAGTGTCCCACAAGAGTGGGTGTCATACAAGAGTGTGCCACTAGAGTGTCTCCTACAAGTGTGCCCCACGAGGGTGTCCCACAAGAGTGTCGCGCAAGAGTGTCCCACAAGAGAGTCCTATATACAAGAATGTCCTACAAGAGTGTCCCACAAGAGTGTCCCACAAGAGTGTCTGCATTCGGGTTCCATCTTGTTTTTTGCCCGCTAGCGATGGCCTCCAACCTAATAGCAAATGGGTCGCGTCTTGGTCAGTTGCCTTCTCAAGTTCTGGTCGCCACCTTGAGGGAGTTTCTGAACGTGGGACAGGTCACTAGATGCCAGAAAAGCCATCATGTCATCAAACTTGTTCATTTCGCAGGCTATACTGCGGCCAGTGGATGTCAAGGGCGCCGTCGTGTTGAACTGCTTCTGCAGGTGGCAATCGCAGGCGGTGTAGGGCAGCTTGGTAACTGAGTCGCATCCATCGTTAGGAGTTTCACAAATCCCCAGATGTTGATTCACAGCGAAAGCACAAATCCAGTAGACCCTGCCGCCAGTTCCTCGAAGCTGGTGTTTGGTCATTCGGCTAACAACTGAAACAAATGATAGGGGCCATGGTACAGAAGCCACCCACTTGGCAATTCAATCACCAAAAGCTTAAGGCTTAAGAGAGCTTCCGAATTGCTTGCGGGTCATCTAACTCAGTGAGTTGTCCAAAACGCTGAAGAATGGGCACTACAGCACAACGTGCTTTAGAAAGCTTGGTTGACAAAAAGGTTCACACCAGACTCCAATCCCAAGAAAACTTCCTTTAAAGGTCTGGCTTCCTTGCGAGCGTAGGAGGTCTTCTACAATGTCAATGTTCTCGTCCAGCAAGTGGGCAACCAGCTCAAAGGCGGGCTCATTCACTGCGTCCGCAATGACGGCCGCAACCAAATCTCTGAAGAGATTCTGCCAAGAATGGGTCACCTACATGGTGTCAGAAGATTCTGTTACATCAACACCTACAGCATGCCTCTCTTGGTAAAGATCTAGTCAGGAGGAATCCCTTACAGACATCCCGATCATTCCAACCTCATCTTCCTTCAGGGTAAAAGGCACACCTCTAATCCAAGCTTTTCCCATGCCCAATCATCTTCCTCTTCCCCAGGTTCCCTCCATCAAGCGGCCATCTTCTGAGGCTTCTGCTCGCCCACAAGTGTCGAGTAGGCGCAGCGTTGCGCCTTCGTCGCAGGGATAATTGCCTGGCGCACCACGTCACAAGTGGTGTGCACCGAAGGATCGTAGTGGGACATCAGCGACGTACCCAGCCTCAGATGCAACCCGCACTGGGTAGGAAGCTGGACAGTTCTGCCTGAAGCTGGCTATTGGCTGGGTGTGAATTTCAGGCTTGCTTCGTGAAGTCTCAGGCCCTATTGCTCGGGGGGTGATCTGGATCCGGTCACAACCGCATGGACTTGCGCTCATGGGTGTTGCGGAAAAGCACAAAAGTATTTCTGGGTTACTGGGTACGCTGGAGGAGGTGGTCGCAGAGAGTCGTTGTGCGTGCCACTTTCTGGACTAAAGTGACTGAGGCATTTACCAAAGATTCTTCTCGAGTGGCTGCTTGTAGAAGGACAAGAGCGTGGTTGCTGAAATGCCTCTGGTCGACAACTCTTCCACTTTAGCCCTCCATGCCTTGGTCTTCAAAGCAGCTAGGTGCTGTGCAGCACGAAGAGAAACAAAGGTCGTGCACAAAGAACGGGCATGTGAGATGATCCTTGAAAAGGATAACCTTTCTGATTGTCCAGAGTCCAGATGTGCTTCCCTTCCCTGCAAGCTGGATCCAATTTCTACGACTTCCATGCTATGAAACAGGTGTGATTGACAAAATAAGACCATATACTGTATATCGTTGAGAAGTCTTAGGCACTTAGATTTTGGCATTCCCCCTTCAGGCCTTCAGGCCTCAAATAAGGACAACATAGGACAGCACCGAGACGAGCCAACAAGTGGCACAGCAATGCGCTTGGTCCTGACAAGGTGCAAGATCTGTATTGGGAAGTACCGAGCTGCTTCGACTGAGGAGTCGCCAAAAGCCCATCGGCTGTCCTGGGCCAGAGAAAGGACCGGCTCACTGTGCCAACTTCAACCATGACCCCTCCAGGCAGGCCACCACGACAAGAATGAGGATGACAACAGGCACAACAGCAATCAATCAATCTGTGCACAGAAGGAAAAAGGAACGCTGGGCGAAGAAAGAATCTCACCGTCAACCTACTGTCTTGTCCAAGAGGCGTTCAAGAAAGCTTGTAGCCTGGTGTGCATTGGAGAGAAACCAGGCACCACACCTCAAATTCACTGCGCAACTGGCTATGGATCACCCTTGCTGAGACCATAGGTTCACCTGCAGAAATCTCTCTAGAGACCAGAGACCTGTCTGCCTGCCTATGTGGACACCAATCCTATGACCCACTAAGTGTCTTGCCACCTGTCCCGCATCCTCTGGAGAAAGCGGGGGCGCAATGTGAGTCAGTGTGACTGGGACAGACCTTGGAATCTGACTTAAACAACTAATGTCCTTCCCCTAGTCGCTATGCGCTGAAGTGCCTTAATCCAATTCTCTGCCATCTACAGTGGATTCACGAACTTCCACCACTTCAAGCTTTGCTCTATTCGATTCAATGGAGCCCTGTAAGGTACAGAATCGGAGACTGCCTTAAGGTACATTTTGGAGAGTTGCGTCACAAATCCGTCCTGTCTCCTGCCCGCCTTGCTTGCCCCCTTTCCAGCAGAGCCTTTTAACACCTTTAGCACTTGGCTCAAGGACTGAGGCGCAAGTTGGCAAGCAAGTTCATGATTTGAATAGGAACTCCGCAATACCTCCGCGAGATTTGTATAACTCGGCAAATGTTATCATATAAAATATGACCCTCGGAACAACAAAAGCGGTCAGCGGTCTTATCAAAGGCCATGTATATAGAGTGTGGCATATGCCGGACACCTTAGAATAGTATATAAAAAGAAATGAAAACTTACTCTTTCAAGCATGAGTTGCAAGAGAAGACCCTCCAAGGGATGACACTGTGCTTCAGTAAACTGAATGATTGCCAGCCCTGCTGGTGCCAGGATGTCACTAGTAAAGATAGCCAACAGAAGTCCCACAAACTGCCGGAAGACTGACAGGCGAGCATTCCTGGGCATGCGATGCACGGCGTGCACGATTGACCTTTCCTCGAGACAGGAAGTCGAACCTTTCAGCACAGTATGGAAAATGCACATTATTGGGACATTCCCCATTGTTGTGGTGAGAGAACAAGCATAAATTAAACCCCGCTTTTGTCAACAATCTGGCATCACATCAACACAGATTTCTGGCAGATCTTGGTGTATTGACCCAAATCAAAAATCTGCAAAGCCCTCTTTTGCTGACAGAAAAATGATGATTATTGTAGACAAATGCTTTCCAAGGCAGCGGTGAGCACTCTCGTACCCGTGTTCCGTCCTTCAAATAGTTTCCAGCCCCATAAAGGACCACCCACACATCAAAAAACGGAGGCACTACTGTTGACCGACAGTAGCATTCTCCTCGAGAACAAGAAGAAGCAGGGTCGGCCGTGCCTGAGAAGCCATGAGGTCCTGACGGGATCTTTGATTCAAGATAAGCTTCTTGAATGCATCGCGGCAAGCTTCGCTGCCTCAGTTGTTCTTTTTATACACATGAAAAGGAGTCAAGGAGTCTCTGCAAAACCAGTTCTTCAGGTTCATCCCCTGAGGTCAGGACGAAGAGCCTCCAAGTATATGGACTCTCACCTCTCCTCCATCTCTACTCTAATCTGAAGTGTTTCTCATGCCCGGCAACATCTTGTATTTTTCTTTGGGCTTAAAGCAAACAACATATGCACATATACAAATCCGGCAACGTGACCCTCTCGCCTTTCACGAGGAGTTTCAAGGAACTCAGCTCCAGGGCTCGCGTTCCCAAGTTTCTAAGGGCTGCTTTGCTCTACACAAAGTGGTCAGACCAATGCATCGCAGTACCGCAGACTCCAAAAAAGACGAATGTCACCATGACTCAATGGTTTGTGCGAGGAAGCACGAAAACTTGAGAAAGAAGGACAAGATGACTAGAAACCAAAAAATGGAGTGCCCCACAACAATCAAAGCAGAGCACAACTTCTGTGAAAGAGCAAGAGTGGTTCGAGGTGCAGTCGTGGTGACCTTTGGGCTCAGCTCGCGAAAGGTGGCGCCTGGCTGAGCAGAAGGTGGAGAGCAGGATCAGTTGAAACGCCAGCAGCGTCACCACGGCGATCACGATGGGTGGATACATCACCTATCGCCGAGCTGTCAAGCATCAGATCTGAGCAACCCATGGATAGCAGCTGAATGAAACCCTTATGCAACGCTGGCTGTGGTATGGCGAACAACAATAGAAACCGCGAAATCAACTGGTTCTGCTCTGGCGAATCCGATCCAGAAAAATTAGAAATTATTCCCGATTACCAAAAGACACGATGCTATCACGAGCACCAGACATGATTGCTTTGACTTGAGGACTGCGGAGAACACAACAATCCGCTTCGTGGTGTCAAAATGAATCTTGACTGAAATGTCTCTTATAACGTCGGAAAATTAGCATCGTTCAGCTTCCCCCGATACCGGTGTCCAAGCCACAGCAGGGCTGGGGATGTTCAAATGAGCCAAAACTGCATGGTAGCTCTCCTCTTGGAAGATCCGCCATATGACCAGCGCAGGGACCCAGAATGCCAGGCAAAAAACCAGCACCTGGCCCGAGCCAGCCAAACATGCAGTGACAAACAACTTTAAAGCTGATGGCGTTGTTTCAGACGTGATTGCCGTTCAGACGGTGGCCTTCCCGAGTATGGAGAGCATCCTCAGAAAGGGGGAAGGCTGCAGCCACGTTGAAACTTGACAAGAGGGAACAGCAAAAACACAGCTGAGTATATAACTTTGTATGGTATCCACATGAGAGTCAGAATCTGAATCTGAGTTCGGCTTTTTTGAGTAAGCGACTGGCATTTCTAGTCTTTGACAGACTGCTACGGCACAGCATACAGTATTGGCTGCCTGTTCAGTATGAATGTAGTACATAGTGCCTTCAATCCCTCGGCATAAGCCGCGAGGTCTTTTGTTGTCTTGATGCTGCCCTTCTAAAAGGTTACATTTATGGTTGCCATATGTTGCCATTAACGTCTTAAGGAGCACTGCATCCGTGGTCTATATCAGTGTGATGGATCTCAATTTGGGCAAAGCATCTTTAGCTTCCAGCATCGAGGAGACTCAGGTCCATGCGAGGCCCTTTCAAGAATATGCACTCGGTGAAGACCTCGGGCTCGCTGGAGTTCAGTTTTGGAGAGCCAAAAAGAGTAGCAAGTGCAACTCTTGTGAATCCCGACCCTGAAACCTGTTGCTTTGAAGACCTGGGATCGCAAGCATCAATCCAAATTGGATCGTGTGGGATAAATCTGATAGGGCTCACCGAAGACCTCCACAAATCCGCACAAACCTGCTCTGCTGTCCGGTCTCAGGCCAGCTACCTAAGCTTTGGATCCATAGAATCTCGATCCCAATCATCCAACACCGGAGTGCAGCCACGAAGCTCTCCTTATATAAGTGTCAGAGCAAAAGAGAAGTAAAGGGAAGGCGGTGTTTTTAAGCCTTCGTCTGGAATAGATTATGTTTTCTGTCAACATGTGTGTTCATTTGACGCCACAACTATCCGCCCAAACCTATCCTGAAAACAAAAAGTCCACCACATGCGTGTGTATACACATATATAGTATGCGTGGTATGTTTCTATTTTTATATATATGTATGTCAAAACATTGGCAGCCGACTCCGATGGGCTGGAAACAGCGGGCTTCTTTTATGGACGCTCACGTGTGTGTGTGTGTTTTTTAAATATATATATATATACATGTGAATCGGATGATGTGCTCGGACCGATCGACCACCTTCGAATGAGAACCTCCAAACACGGACACGTGTTTGGCTCAAGGCCACAGGACCGAGGACGGCAAGACGCACCAGGAAAAGGGTGTGCACTGGGAGGGTGGTGGACCACCGTTGATTTAGGTTTGGTTGTAGGTTCCCCTAGGTAGATTTGTTGTTGGGGCGAGGAGGCTACCTTTGTGGGTGGAAGGATTTCACCCACATTGGTAGCGGAGCCCATTAGCTCGGGTGAGGCATCCGCAAAGCTATGGGTTCAGAAGCTGCCAGTTCGGAAGACAAGTCCAACAATGCAATCTGGACTCTTCTACCCAGTTTTGATCCAGGTCATGACGATGTGAAGGAG